TATTTTCAAATTTATATTTTATTCAAAAAATAAAATCATTATTGTTTTTTTTTAAAACACATAATCTATAATATATTATTTTATCTGCAGTTAATATATTATTTTATTGATTAATTTTTTTAACTATTTTTTTATAAATTAATATTTCTAGAGTCGAATAAATAAATTCTTAAACTTTTTAAAATAAAAAACCCAATAATTTTTTTTATTTTAAATAATTAAGGGGGTGTTTACCAAAATACATACCCCGGTAAACGCTCACCATTATGAGTCAACACTATAATTTATCTTTTAGGTAAGGTTGTAGAATATCAAAATGGTATCGTGTGCAACAATATATATGGTAAACGCTTATCCGGATAAGAGTCGTCACCCTTACTTACTGGGTAAGACTCTCTATCCTTATCATCGCTCTTACCAGATAAGATTCCTGGGTCTTGCCATGTTCGTCCAGTGAGAAAAATTGTCCGATAAACACCTACCGGGAAAACGTTTAGTAAACAGCCCCTAAGTTTCTAAATATTTTTTGAACCAAGTCCTTATACCTATAAAACGAAATTAATATATAGATTAATAATAAAATACAATAAATTAATAAAAAAAATGATTAAATACCATTTTTATTAACTTTTATTTATTTTTCATATTCGAACAAGAAACATAAGAGAAACTAATAACTATTTATTTTTCAGATTCAAATAACAATAATCGGATCATTAACAAACACATGTAATTGCTATTTAAATATGAAATAAATAAGGGTTAACAAAAAATAGTGCATATTTTCAATATTATTGGTTCGTTGTATATTTTCGTTGATTTGTTGATATTTGTCGTTTTATAAAAGTAAGGATTTATTCCGTCAAACACCTAATCACATGAATATGAAATTTCGTTGGTTTTTTCTTGGTTTAAACAAGTTCAATGATTTATTTCATAAAGTTTAAAGATTTATTGGTTCAAAAGATAGTTTAGATACTTAGGTTTTGTTTGTTTTTATATAAAAAAGCTCTTATTAGCCTCTTATATCTGATTCGTTAAGAGGTAAGGTCATTCAGGCCGTTTGTTTTTTTCAATTTTTCAGAGGCACTTATGTTTTATTGTACTCTTATCTGGTAAGAGGTAAACCATCATCTTATTTGCCTCTTATTGTTCTTCAAACCCTCAACAACGGCGTTTCTCAATTGATTAACCTTAACCGATCATTTCTCGCAATCAATCCTTACCAAATCAATCCCCACGCCTCTCAATTGATGTATTTTAATAGGATTTAAATGTGTTAAATACGTTAATGACATATTATCATTCAAATGAATGCTAATTATATAATTTAGATGTAAATTTCGTAATTAAGATGAATAAATATGAAGACATATACAATTTTTTTTGGAAAATGTTAGGTGAAATTGTGACAACATTTATTACGTGAGAGAGAATCAGTAACATGACAATGACATTGACAATAACAAATGTTCTCGGTTTTGGACTTTTTAGGACCTACCTCAAGAATTGGTCAAGTCCGATCCTTAATTTCCCATGTTCAATTATGACGCTATATGAAACACGATTTTATATCTAAGAGTAAACTATAAATTTGGTCCTTGTGGTTTGTCAAAAATAATAGTTTTCGTTCATACAGTTTTGAAATTACAAGATGCTCATCATGGTTTGTAAAAAATGTCTCTATTTTGGTCCCTCCCTCTACTGGCCATACAAGAATTCCGTTAATGACGGATATTTTTGTCATTTTGTAACTCCCAATTAATTAATGATATGGGAGTTACATACATTTTTTTCTTCCTAAATACTCTTTTCAACATTGTTCACTTATCTTTATGCAATTTTAAATTTAAAAAAATAAGTTTTTATCATGATTAATCACAACCGTTTACTGAAATATTGAATGACCAAGATCGGTTAACAAAGTTAACACAAAAACTTTGGTTAACATTTGATCTTACCCCTATAATATATATATATATATATGGAGGTTCAAACGAGAACACCTCTATTTTACGAGAACGTGTGAACACCCTTATCACATGTGAAGGGACCCTGTGATGTGCGGACGACGTGTTCTATGACTTAGGCTGCCCCAAAAGTTGTATTCGTCTATGATTTAGCATCACATATGATGATCTTGATGAATTATAATATCATATTAACAACACCCTTATCACATGTAATACTACATGTGAGAGGGTTTAGTGGTGGAAGGACGACTTGGCCCACAACCAAGATCGCATTGAAAATTGTCCACGTCTGTGATTTAGTATCACATGTGTATCATATGTGATGGAATAATAGTATCACATGTGATTGTCTATGGTAAAAAGGTGTTCTCACGTTTTCGTAAAATAAAGGTGTTCTCGTTTGAACTCTTCCCCCCTCTCTCTCTCTCTCTCTCTATATATATATATATATATATATATATATATATATATATATATA